CCCCCCCAGTGCCCCCTGGAACCCCCCAAGACCCCTCCAATGACTCCTGGACCCCCCTGAGACCCCCCCCCAAGTGCCCCCTGGGACCCCACTCCAGTTATCACTAGGAACTTCCTGAGACCCCCCCCCCCACCACCACAAGTGACCTTTGACCCCCTTGTCCAGTTGTCAATAAAGGGTCAAATCAGCAACGGAACCGACTCCAGCGTGACCAGTATGGGAATTGGGAGGGGAATGGGGGCACTGGGGGGGTCTCAGAGGCTTCCAGGGCACATGGGGGGGGGAGGGGGGTGTCTCAGGGAGGTCCCAGGGGTCATTGGAGGGGTCTCAGGTGTCACTGGGGGGGGGGGGGTCTCTGATGGAGGGTAGTGGAGGCTCCTGGGAAGGTCTCAAGCAGGAAGGGGGGAGGGAGGGGATCCCAGGGGATATTTGGGGTCCCTCAGGGACGGGGGGCGGCCTCTGACACACACACACACACACACACACCCCCTCTGGGGCTGATCTGTCACCTCTGACCCCCTCCCTGGGACCTCTGACCCCCTGGGTCAAAAGGTCCCCAATTTGTCCCCAACTGTCCCCAAAGGATCCCAGGGAGTCGTCCGGGGGGTTTCGGGGGGTCCTTGGGGGGTCCCGGCTCGTCACGGTCCTGGGGGCTCAGCAGAGACGGACGCACCCACCGTGTCCGGTGCAGGCTGGGGTGGGGGACAGAGAGTGACATTGGGGACATTAGGGGGGATTGGGGACTTTCGGGACACTGGGGGGACATTGTGGACATTGAAGACAGTGGGGGGACGGGGGACATTGGAGACACAAAGGTGGCATTGGGGACATTGGAGTGACTGAGGACATTAGGAGGATTAGGGACACTGGGGACACCGAGGGGACATTGGGGACAGTGGCACCCACCCTGCAGGGAGCTCCAGAAGGAGCCCAGGGTGGCGTTGCCGGTGACGGCACCGGGTCCTGCCGGGTTCCGGCGGGTGCTGGTGACACTCAGGCACCGCCCCTTGTCTCCAA